ATACATATATATATATATATATATATATATATATGAACGCATATGCATACATATTTAAGTTTTAATTACTATATACAGATTGCAATTAAAAATTAAATATTTTTCTAATTTAGCATTTAATTTAAATACATTTTAATGTAGCATTTTTCTTCTTCACAAGTGAATATGGGTTATTAGAACAAGGGATTTTATGTCTATAAAAGACACATTCGTGCAGGGCAATTTCTGAGCAGTACACAAGCAATAAACATACACAAGAGTAACCTTGAGTAGAGAAATAGCTATACCGCTGGAGAGGAAAAAAAACTAAACAATCAAAACACCCAACAATTTATATATTTTTGTATGTACATATATAGACTGTTCCACAAAGAGTTGGATATCTTAAGGAATGTATCAATTTCTGTATAATATAGTACTCCATTTAGAGATAAATTAACAAAGTACTTAATATTTTATAGAAGCCACTATACCATAGATTTTGTTTATATGGTAGCCACTTCTAAGGAGCATATTCCAGATCAAGGAGAATAAGCATATGAAAATATCGTGTAATTGATCGTTATGAGTGATGAGTTCCTTCATACTATTTCTCTTTTTGGATATTATCATGTAGAACTTTCCTTTTCCGTATGTAGACATATGACACAGTTTTTTGTCCCAAAGAAGGGAAGACATTAATTTCTTACGGAAGGTTTACCTTTTCTAAAAGTCCAAAAGAATTACAGTCAACATCACGTATTTGGGTTTTTTCCCCTCTACATATTTAAGTACCATCAGAACCTTTGAAAGATATTTTTGTGTTTAAATTATTTATGATAAAAAAAGTTACTTCATTCTAGAACTTCTACACTCTGTATTAAAAATTTACCAAGTTTCTCTCCACATTAATAGCACATTCTGAATAGATTTAAAAATGAAGTACATGTCAAGTGATTATCTGAGCATCAAAATAGCTAGTTGTCTGACTGCACACACTCTTTGGGAACACTCTTTACATTTCAACCCCAAAGCACCAGTCCCACCCCCATATTGTGCCAAATATCCTAAACTTTTTTCATTTTCATTTTATAGAGGCATTATTCATCATAAAACAAATTCTCCATTCATTGATCATTACTAGTAAAAATAATAGCGGGCTTGTCACATAAGTCAGAAGCACTGCTATCTCCAAAGCTTTTTATCAGACATCCTTGAACAAGTAAATTTGGAATAGGTATATAAATGTGCAAACAAATTATTGTTTGTTTGGGTTTTTTTAAACTGAGAATCTCAAGATCTGTCTGATTAAAACTGAATGCTTAAGGATGTTCCAGTTGAGTACAGAACTTAAGCAGGTTATGTGTGTACTTAATTTAGTATATGTAAGTTTACTCCCAGTGCCTTAAAGTTCAGAGTGTGCTGGGGTGAATCAGAAAAAGGATAACAACCCTTCCAGTGATGCAGGTGTTGGCTTTGAAAATCAGAATAATCATTCCCATGCAGCCTTGGGATAGGGGACAGTTATAAAGATCACAATTTTAAACCAGTCAGTTGTTAGAGAAAATATGTAAACAGGGATTCAAAGAACAAATAAAGGGCTCTCATTTTTTGTTTTCTTTACTATATATTTATGACTAATTTATTGCATTACAGAGCCATAATTTTTCAATCCACTTGTTAAAGCAAAGGAGTAACACTACTTTGAAGTATTAGAGGTTTGAAAAAGCTCCATACACTAATGCCTCTGAATGAAAACATCTGCATGCTGATCTGACCTATGTCATTAACTTGCAATCCTGCTCTTCTGAGTGATTCATATAAACTTTATCAAGTGTCCCCGTGTATACAAGACCTTGTTAAAAAAACAGAGGAATTCAGCTCTAGAGTAACAGGTGTATTTGTTGCATAGCATGAATATTTGGAAAATGTCCGATGTTCCCTTTATAAAAAGTTAATGATCTCAAGTAATTGCTTACTCAAGATAAAAATCTTTAGCAAAAAAGAATTTAAGAGTGTTTCATTACAGGTCTAAGGAATATCTACAGAGTGTCAGCTGCAGAGGTTGGATTGTAATGCCTCATTAATGTTGAGATTATAGCTTTCTTTGAATTTGGAATCTTCTTACTTTACAGTGACTGAGAAACTACACTGATGGGTCTACTTCAGTAAAGAAATATATATGCACATTTGAGCTTGGGGACTTCAATTTTCCAAATGGTTATGACTGTATCACATTTTACACACTAAAGTCTCCTTTGAGAAGTTGCTTACAAAGGCAAGTTCAGTGAATACCTACACAGTATCAAAACCAGAGCATTACTTTGAAGCTAGGCACAGTTCAACAGCTTTAAAATTTGTACGCATTTTGCAAAAGTGTCAAAGGTTTACACAAAAATTTATAATATTTTTATCTACAAATATTACATGTGTATTGATATATATTTATGTATGCATGTACATCTGTATGTATCTGTGCATTTATAAATATGTGTGTATATATACACAGTTGTACATATGTGCTTATTTTCTGACTATTCAAAGTAGAAATATCCCAAAAGATTAAAATCTGGACTTGAATATAGGTGACAGATTCCTGAAATTAAATAAAAATTTTATGCTTTAACATATGTTTCAAAGAATACATAGTTCAGCATAATGAATTATAACTCTGGAAAGGATGCACTGGACTACATCCATACTACATCAGTATTCTTTGATTTTACTAATGTCCTTCATTTTCTCTAAAATTCTAAGCCCTAGAAAGTCAGTTAGTATGACAACCTGAAACTCAGCTCCAATAGCCATTTGGTTTCTTCCAAGCTACCACTCACATATATACATATACATATATATATATATATATACACACACACACACACACACATATATATATGTATATTTGTTCTTTAGATATTTGTCCTTAAAACATTAGTTAGCAGAGATGATTTCCTAAGAGATTTTTCATTCAAGCATGTAACATTAAATTGTCAGCCCACAATACTTTAAAATAAAGTTCTTATGATTTTTGCTGTCTAAACCTAATCCTGCAAATTATCACATGCTTGAATATATATCTTCAATATGTAAACATTTGGCTTGTGGGTTTTCAACATCAGGAACAAATTTTGCTGATACATACAGTACACTGTATTTCTACTAATTCCAAATATTACACTGTCAACCCAGAAGATCCTGTTTTTATTTACAGGTTCCTGGACACTTAGAAAGAGTCACCTTTGATATTTTCAATTTGTTGAGCTTTCTTCCTAATCTTAAGCCAAGTTTTATTAAGATAATTTATATCCTTTCAAAGCCAGGTTAAACAGCCTTAACAAAAAGTCTTCCTTAATTGCATTTGAAATAGGTTAAAATTTAGATACCTTTCATGTAGAAGTTAATACTTTTCTGGTACCACAAACTAAGAAAAGAGATCTCATTTTGTAATAAATATTCCAATTGACCTCTAGATTTCATAATAACTGAGACAAGGTTCTGTCTGGTAATCAGAAAAAAGAAAACAACATCGTTAATAACAATTGGATAAAGAGAAAAGGTTTGTTGGATTTTTTTTAACATGCTATAAATTTGGAATAGTTTAACTGACAGTGATTTTATGTTGATATAAAATGAGGACAAGTGCTTATGTAGACATCATGTAATTGAGGCTGGATCTCCATGGTTTTTTGTTAGTCATTTGCAACATAGCACAGATGTAAAAATCTTCCACTTAATACCTGGAGGATACAAGTTTCCTAAGTGAAAGATCTCCAGTAAGTGATTTGCTATTTCAGTGTCTATTGAACTTCACATGCCATTTATTTTACTCTGAGGTTAAGCAAGTGCTTAAATATTACCATGAAGAAGAGTGGACAAGTACATGCTACAATGCCCTCTTTGTCAATCACTTCACAGACTAAAGTTGCAGAGAATCGGGCAAAAGCCTGGAAAAGACCTATGTTTCAAAAGTCCATACTAATTCACAAGTATAAAACTGTATATTATAAAAAGAGACAACATTACTACATAATTCATTAAATGTGATTTTCTTACAGTGCTCATTTACATGCTTAAACTGTTTCAGCAACTGCTTTTCCTTTGACAGACTTCTTTGTAGGGTCAGATCTTCAGGAAAGGGAACAGAAACCTTAATTCCCACTTTCACACCCTACCTAGCCTACTAATTGGTAGAATGAACACATTATTGCCTTGATGGTCCTTGGTGGCAGTTAGAGTTTGCATGTGGTTTTTTGAAAAAGTGGAAATTGCAATTTACATTCTTTCTTCAGTGTTCATTTGTTTTATTCTCACTTTATCCTTGACTTTTTCCTTTTTCCTCTTATATTTCCCACCGACCCCTTCTATTAGGGTTCTCTCTTTCCTTTCTATTGCAGTCTGGTAGCTGAAAGTTACAAAAGTATTTTGATTGCTTCAGAGCAAATGGACTATTGTTTACAGAGAAGTTGTGTGTGTCCACATGTATCTTAGTTGGGCTAAGGAATCAGAGATTAGAGTTGCAGCTACGGTCCAAATTACAGGTTTTATAGCAGATGGTTAGACTTTCAATATATATAGTATGACAAAAAGAAGGAAAGAGAGTCATTGCATTTATATCATCATACAGAGTAGAGGAATGTTAGGTGATCTTCCCTGTGCGAATATGAGTACATTTCCCCGTAGCTGGCTACTATTCACCTCCTCCTACAGATGGTTTTGCCTTTACAGCTTTTTACTTCCAATCCACACTAGCCTTATCTAGCCAGGCAATTTGTGTGTTAAGTAGCTGTCTGGCAATTCCTCCTGTAATCCTGTTAAGTCATAGCTAATACAAGTTGTCTCTCTGCTTTGACCAAGTCTCCAGGTATAACATCTTTTTCACAGCATTACCCAGCTCCAAAGAATTTCTGGACATATTGAGCTTGCCTTTTTGCCTTGATGCATACAGGTAAGCGCATTTATTAGCATGTTTGGCCTAAATACAGGTTTTAGAATAATTTCATAAGTTATAACACTAGTTCAAAAAATTAGCATATTTTTCATCAGTTTGTTCTACCCTAGAGAAATTTCTGTATAAAGTAGCCATTATTTTACATAATTAATAGCAAACAAATCTGATAACTTGCAACAATGATCAAAATACCTCTACTAATGCTATCTTGAACTCTGACTGATAGATAGTAATACCTATATGTTATGACACAGACATACTTCATAATTGTACATCCTTGATAGCTGTGTATAAACACAGCAATGCTAACCAACCCATAAACGTTCAGTATTTCTTTGACATTGTGGAATTTTTTTTTAGCTTTTAGCAAAGCAACATAGTCAATAGTTTTGAAAAATAAAAAGTACAAACAACTTGAGAGAGTCAGTCTTAGATCCCAGCTGTTCTATATGGGAGGAAGATGACAAGCATATAGCATATACTTAGAGCATTCATTTTTCAGTTTCCTGGCAGCAGCACCTACTGTGGAGCAATGCTAGATTTCCTTTCTAAAATGCTGTTTTTCACCATGCTGCCTAAACTGTGCCTAACTGCATGGATCTGACTAGCCATCATGTTATAGTTATTGGCACCTCGGTGTCAGACATTATGGGACAATGGACTGCAGTTCTTCTGATGCACTCACTGACTTACATAGTGTTTAGTTTTCAAGCTATGAAAATCAGTGCATGAAGTGATATATGGGCTGCCAGTTTTATTTGTTCACATTTGCCCGTGAGAGCAAATCTGATTATTACAGAAGGTTTCAGTTCATTCTTTTTATTTCATCTCAAGCCAGTTCAAATGGTTCTTTTTCCATCTTGGCTGAATCTAATCAGACTGAGCATCTCAATCAATACGTTCTCTAAAACATATGTTTGTGCTACAATCAGAAATGTAACTATGTACAAGCAGACAACCTTGAGCATTATTTTATTTAGCTAATCTAAATACTCACAACTGTGAAGGCACAGTAATATGGGACAGTAAACTGCTGGCCTTCCTAGGTATCAGGCAGATTAGCACCGCCTGTGTTGAGCCCATTCTACTCCATCTCCATTCCACTGCATCCATTTACTCCATCTTTATTACAGCCCTAGCTAGATACAGAATTGAGGGATCATAACATGTTGCAAACACATCCTAGTGCAGAATAAGCACAAAGATGTTGTTGCATGTTATGTTAGAAACAGCAGTTATGACTAGGTATGATATTGACTGACCTACTCACAAAAAATACTAGGGTGGTTCTGCTTACAAGATTAAGGGCTTTTCTTCAGTGCATGGCTCACTTTATAATCTTGGTGGTGCTTCAAATCTAAGTGCCTTCTCAACATAACTGTGCCCGTGCTTTCAGCTCAAACTAGTTGCCTTTAAATGGTGAAAAAGAGTATGTGAACACTGCTAAAGAAGTTTGCTCCAGGGAGTGATTTTTTGATCTGTAAATTAACAAGTGGATGAAGGCTTATGTTCACAATACTGGGAATAACCATAGTTAGAACCAGTTGTGCACCCTGCATAGCACCAAGTGAGAGCCTACTCCAGGCCTCTTGTGACTCTGAAGCACTACTGAAACACACAGGTTATTAATTAAAAAAGGTGGGATGCAGTTCAAAATGCCCAACATAACATAAGGCAGTCCACCATGGCAGTATTTCCATATCATACAATGGAAGGTATATAATGCACATCCTGAAGCAAGCCTTAAGAACAACACTGAAAAACTGCAAATGTACAAGAAGTCTAGTGCTGTGCTATCTCGTGGACCTGGCCTCCAGGGAGCAGTCCCTGGAATGAACTAGAAAGTGGATGAGGATTAGGTTAGAGAATACTTAAACTGGACATATATAAATTCATGGGCCCTGATGGGATGCAACCACAAATGCTGAGGGACCTCACTGATATAATTATGAGGCCACTCTTGATAACCTTTGAAGAAACTTAGTGTCTGGAAGAGATGCCAGAAGAGTGGAGGAACACAAATGTCACTCCCATCAACTGGCTGAACGTCTGGGCCCAGATAGTGGTCATCAGTGGCACAAAGCCTAGTTGGAGGCTGGTAACTAACAGGGTACCCTAGGGGTCAGTCTTGGGTCCAGTACTGTTTAATATCTTCCTTAACTATCTGGATAATTGGGTAGACTGTATCTTCAGCAAGTTTGCTGGTGACAGAAAAATGGGGAGAGTGGCTGATACACCAAAGAGTCATATTGCCATCCAGAGGGATCTTGACAGGCTGTAGAAATGGGCTGACAGGAGCCTCATGATGTTCAGCAAAAGGAAGCGCAAAGTCCTGCACCTGGGGAGGAATAACCCCATGCACCAGTATGTGCTAGGGGCTGACTGCGCAGAAAGTAGCTTTGCAGAAAAGGACACGGCAGTCCTCCTGGACAGGAAGCTGAATGTGAATCAGCAATGTCCCTTGCAGTAAAAAAGGCTAAAGGTATCCTGTACTGCATGAGGAGTAGTATTACCAGCAGGTTGAGGGAGCTGACCCTTCCCCTCTTACTCAGCATTGATAAGGCCACACCTGGAGTACTGTGTCCAGTTCTGGACTCCTCAGTACAAGAGAGACATGGATGTACTAGAGATCAGAAATAGTGTGGCCAGCAGGACAAGGGAAGAGATTTTTCCCCTGCACTCAGTACTGGTGAGTCCACATTTCAAATACTGTGTTCAGTTTTGTGCCACTCACTACAAGACAGACATTGAGGTGCTGGAGCATGTCCAAAGAAGGTCAATGAAGCTGGTGAAGGGTCTAGAGAACAAGTCTTATGAGAGGCAGCTGGGGGAACTGGGTTTGTTTAGCCTGGAGAAAAGGAGGCTTAGGGGAGATCTTATCACTCTCCAAAACTACCTGAAAGGAGGTTGTAGCAAGGTGGGTGCCAGTCTATTCTCTCAAGTAACAAGTGATAGGACAAGAGGAAATGGCCTCAAGTTACACCAGGGAAGGTTTAGATTGGATATTAGGAAAAAAGTCTTCACCAAAAGGGTTGTCAAGCATTGGAACAAACTGCCCAGGAAAGTGGTTGAGTCACCACGCCTGGAGGTATTTAAAAGACATGTAGATGTGGTGCTTAGGGACATGGTTTAGTGGTGGATTTGGCAGTGCTAGATTAATGGTTGGACTTGATGACCTTAAAGGTCTTTTTCAACCTAAACGATTTAATCCAAGGATGGCCACTAAAATGATGAAGGGACAGAAGCATCTGTCCTATAGGGAAAGACTGAGAGCTTAGCCTACAGAAGAGAAAGCTCAGGGCAGATCTTCTTGATGTATGTAAATACCTGAAGGGAGGGTGCAATGACAGTGCAGATAGGCTCTCTTCAGTGGTGACAGGACAAGAGGCAATGGGCTCAAACTGAAACACAGGAGGTACTTAGGTGCCTGAGGACTGACACAAGTAGTCCAGAGAGGCTGTGGAGTCTCCCTCCTTGGAGATATTCAGAAAACATCTGGACACAAGTCCTGGATAAACCAGTCTGTATCCAGCCATTACTTAGGTCTTATACAAAGAAATACCTATTCTTGTCTGGTTTGTATCTGCTACTTTCACTTCATGCTCCTTTATCCTGTGTTAGAAGATACAGTAAATGATCCTTTTCTGCAGACATTCTCTGTGGTCTTCAATTTCATAGACTTGTAATCCATAAAATACCCATCTTCTATTATTTCTTAATCAGGATGAAGAAAATTATTACTTGTTTTTTCTCATATGGAGGGCATTTCATTCCTCTGAGCATCCTTGCTGCCCTTCACTTTTTCAAGTTCTATTACATCATATTTGAAATGGGAGAAGCAGAACTGTCAGACATATTCAAGATAAATGAACACCCTACACCAATACTGTGGCACAATACTGTTTTTTTGGGGTTTTCATTTCTTTCACAATAATATCCAACATTTGTTTTATCTTTTTTGCAGCTGCTGTGCACTAAGATGATTTTCAGAACTATTTATTATAACCCCAAGAACTCACTTCTAGTGGTAAAAGTCAACTCAGAGCCTATGATTTCTTATGTGAATTTAAGACTCTTTCCTCCCATCTATGTTTATCTTTTCAAAATTTCATCTGCCACTTAATCATACACTCAACTCAGCATTGTAAAATCCTTTTGCAAATCATCACAGGCAGCTGTTGTGCACATTATGGACAGCAAACTTCTGTCACTTATCTATTACTCTTTTTTTTTCTCAGATAAGCTAGAAATGCAATTGAGAGCACAGGGCCTGATCACAGATCTGGGTCATCACTACTGGAAAATGTTTTCTCCTACCCATCAACAAACCATGGGACAAGCAGGAAACAGTGATCAAGCATAGTTTGAGCTTTTACTTTTTCAATATTTACTGAACTTGTGGTTGAAGAAACAAAGTATTTATTGCACCCTACAGTATCAGAGGAGACTTTGGAGACCATAGTTTATTTGCAGCTCAATATCTTTTATCACATATACCCTCTGAAGTCTCTCTTTGCAATGGAAAAGGCCACACACTTTACATCAGAACACAGTCAATGTGTAGAGACTGTATGATTGGTTTGATCTCTTTGTAGCCAGGACCAGAATGGAATTTTGGCCCATGCTCATATGAAACCAGATGGGTCTTCAGTAAGCACCAGATATTCACCTTGAACAAGTCACTACCTCTCCATTTTCCTCCATCTGCTAAATGACAGGTGTGGCATTAACAATTCTTGGCAAAGTACTTCATAACACACTGATGAAAAACATTACAAAAAGTGTTAACAGCTTCTCTATCCAAGTGTATGAAACAGAACATAAGGAAAGTTGAGTGAGGAATCTATCTTATTTAGTGCTTGTCCATAACAGGTTACAGTCAGATGCACTTTGAGTGCCAAGTTAAAAACTTGTCATAGTGAGTCTCCATTAAAAAAATAAAATAAAACATCACTTAACTGTGAAAACATAGACATAATGAAGAGCAAATCCATTATTTTTACAGTGTTTTCTCTTAAAAATTCTTTAAGAGCAATGCACACGTGAAAATCACAACTACTTCAATCCTGGGAATCTCTGGAAAACATGAAAGCTCTAATGAAAGCTTCAATGACATGAAAGGGACAGAATGGGGAAAAATTACACAGATCTAGAAATGATTATTGATTTTTGCTGAGCAATCAATAAGGTCTGAAAAAGAGAGTAACACATTGAACCAGTTTTCTTTCTCTTTGTCCCCAGTAGGTCTTGGAATTGTCCTTTGGGGCTAGGAGGCTCACTACAAATATGAACAATTGCAAACAGAAATACTATTAAATACCAGTGTTCTTACCAAGTCCATCTCCAGGCACAAGTGTCTTCTAACAGTTGATCACACTAAACCATCTTTGGTCATCCTCATGCTGTGGAAGAGAAGCCTATAGTGAGATACAGTATTCTGATAGGAAGAATATATGTTGGAGAGATTTGCTTGGTATTTGCCAAAGTTGGCATATTTTTTAGGAACTCTCAGAGTATTCAGGACATTTTGGTCTGAAATTTTATTTGGTGAATCTCTCTCATGTTATATTCGGTTGTACTATATAGGAGGTCAAACCACATTGTCACAGTAGTTCCTTTGAGCTATATATGAAGACCACAGCCAGGCCTCAGTAAACCCTGCCTCTGCTTTCTTGTTAGCAGACAGGAGAAGCCACCCTTTGGCAAAGGCAATATACACTAGTCATGAAGCAGAATCAGTTTGCATCCACCACGTCTTGCTGCTTCCTTTTCTAAGAGGACAGAATGGAGAACTCTGGTAGCATCCTTTGCAACCCCTCTGAAGGGATTTCTCTCAGTGAAGAGTCACAGAGATGATCAAGTCACTAAAAAGCATTTTTTGTATGAAGAGAGCTTGAGCTTGGACTGTTCACTCTGGGAAAGGGAAATCTCAGGGGGAAATCTTATCAATGTGTACAAATATCTGATGGAAAATAATGAAAACAAGAGAATCAGACTATTTTCAGTAGTGCTCACTGACAGAGGCAAAGGGCACAAATTAGAAAACATGAAATTCCAAGCTGACACAAGAAAAAAAAAAATATTCAAATAGAGGAAGAGGTTGCCCTTAAAGGATGTGAAGTAGGTGTGAATATATGATGAGATATGCAAAACTTGGCCAGACACAGTCCTGGGCAACCTGCTCCAGCTGACCCTGCTTGAGCATGGGCATTGGACTAAATGATCCCATGAGATCCCGTCCAGACTAAACGTTCTGTGACTGTCTTATTTGACATATTCTGATGACCAAACCTGTTCCCATTCAGATATAGTCCTTTCTCCAGCCCCACAGATTTGTTGCCTTAACTCCTCCCACCTCACGGAGGTAGCTCAGCCCGTGCTAGGCATGTACTGCCAACTTGTAGGTACCACCATGCCATGAAAATTCTGTCCTTTTTTGACTCACAGTTCAGCCTGTATAACTCATAGGGGGAAGTTACTGAGGGGCTTGTGACAAGTATGACCTAAAATTCACTGTCCAAGAATTACAAAGAGAATGACATTTATGAACAGGTATAACCCTGGGAGGGGTGGGGGGTTGAGAGAGAAAAGAATTAAGTAAGAAAACAGGAGAGCAGCACAGCACATAGGCATCTAGTAGTGATGAGCTTCGGTTTCCACAGTGGCTAGGACAGCTGCCAGACATTATCTTTCTTAGTATCTCTAGAAATGTAAATGGCTGGGACAGGCACAGCTTAGGCAACCAGGCTACAGGCTATTTATTTATGTTTACTGATCTAAAATTTTTTTTTATTCATAGGTGAAGTAAAGGACAGGAATAATTTCTGGCCAAAGATACAGAAGAATCTGAAAGGTGACTCCATTTTAGGCTGGACTAAACTAGCAAAACTTTCAAGTTTTTTGTGAAGGGAAGACAAAATAGTTTAATCTTATGCAAAACATTTCAGTAAGAAAAAAAATTCTGTTCATCTGTTACTGTTAGAACTTTCATACAATAAATATTTTTAAAAAAAGAATGAGCATAATCCAACATGATAAAATAATTCATTATCCCCCCCTTAAACAAAATTTGAAAGAAAATTTGTATTTTCTAAAGAAAAAAACCCCAGCCTTTTACTTGCTTGACTAGAAGAGCCTTCTATTATTTTGAACATTAGTGAATTCAAATATTGAAAGCTTTCTGAGAATAAGGTGACCACAGCAGCATTTTCTTCTAGTTAATTGAATAGTGGTGGTCTAAAGCTAAAATTCCTGAGCAATTTATGTCTCTGCTATGGTTGGATTCAATTTAAGTATGGTAATTGACATATGAATTAATTTACACTAATTCTGCTTTAGATTGCTATACAGAGATTTAGCAATAGCAACATTTAAGGAGCAGGATCTTGCTGACCTAGATGCATTACAGATGTTCTGTAAAGAATTCCCATCTGGAGTGTTACTATCTCTTTTATCACGTAGTGGCAATAAACAAAAGATTAATTAGATGAATGAAATGGAAGGGGGTGATGGTAAGAAAAACATTCTAATGTATTAAGCCTTGAATGTATGTGTCAGACCTAAGCACTAAGCTCCACTTTGGGCATTTGATGTTATGCAAACACCTGTGTTCCTTATTTCAGAGTATTGACAGGAGAATGTTAAAAGTTTTTACAGCAGAGAAGACAGGGTAAGTACTTGGGGTTAGGGGTTGTAATTGAGAGGAGGTGATCTTTTCTCAGCTGGTTTCAGAATCTCTCTCAACCCCACTGAGCTGCTCCCACAAAAATGATTATGAGACATAGAAGAATAGTTTATGGATGCCAATTTCCTCAGTGCAGCACTAATGGTGCGACATACGGCTCTGACCTAATAACTGCTGGTTTTCCTCACAACTTGTGTCTTCTGCTCATCTTCTCCTCTGAGGCTTGGAGCACCTGACCTCTGACACCTATCGTGCTGCTTCAATGCATGCTAGAGGACTGGTATAGCACCTCAAGCCTTGAGAACACTTTATAGTGCTACTATAATCAGAAGCATGTATGCTGGGAATGAAAGAGCACCCAGCATGCCATAGCTGCTTGCTACAATATTATGATTTGAATTTGCTAGTTCTAGACAGAGCAATAGTCAGACACATCCATCTTGATTCTCAGCAGATCATAACCTTTTTCTTTTTTACTTTTTTAAAGTCATGTTACACTGTAGATGAATACCCTGTGTTCTGCAAAATATACACTACATGCTTATAATGTCACTGCATGCTTATAGTGTCACACTGCCACCTCTAGAGACCTTACAAATAGCAGAGCACATCTGAACAGCAATCACAGGGACAAGGCTTGAGACACAGAACAAGACCGTTTAGTTACAAACTTCCTTCTTGATCTCATACACTGACAGGACTAGAGGACAGGGAGGGATGAATTTGGAAACAATGTGACACAGATTGGAGAAGGAAGCCCTGAAGCTCAGAGACAAATCAGATATGTGTGTCTGAAAGGAACTCAGAAGCTTAAGGGGATCTGATAGAATAGGGCAAAAGGTGGGGTGTATGTGTATTATTTAGCACCTGGATACATAATGGGTGATTACTGTATACAAGGGCTGACCTGTGTTTCTGTGACACTAGTTAGACTACAACCTTAGTGGAGATTTCTATAAAATAACATATTCCAAAGTTCAAAATTTGGAACAATCCTACAGATCACAGGTCAAATTCTCCCCAAGAGCAGCCACAGATTAACTAACAAAAATAAACAGCTGCATACTTTCATAATGGTCTCAGATAGCTGAAGAATATTAAAAATCTCAGTTTGTACATTTTTTTTTTAAACCAAAGTACACTCTTTCCACATCTCTTTATATGAATACTGAGGGAGAGAAATTTATTTTCCATAAACTGCCTCTAAGTCTGTGACTTTCAAATACATTTTATGACCAAAGCCACAAGTTTCAGATAACAGCAACAAAATTGACTGTGGGCTCAGTGTAGACTACCTCAGATCCTTGAATTCAGTGTGGTTGAAGTAGGTTTCAGTAAACCCAAAGAGATCTACTGAACAGAACCGAGTAAAAGGAAACACTGCTGTTTTCAGTGCACCATAGTCTATCTCCTCCATTAGGTTTTGTCTGGTTTGCCTTGTCAAACCTGCTAGTGCTCCTGCCAGCAAGCAGAACCTCTCCTTTCCAATAAGAGTGCTCTGTCACAAGTAAGCCTTGGACCTGGAGGAAAACTCTGGGTCTATGAATTATGCCAGCTCAAAAGCTGCTCATGTTCTTTGCTGTTATCAGTAACTTGAAGTAACTTCATGCCCTGAAGCTTTCAGAGATGTGTCAGTTACAGTAAAGGTGTGATCAATAACTTACTTGAGATCTTAAAATTTCACCCTACTCATTAAGCCCTATTATAGGTTATTAATTACAGTTCCACAAATTCTTTGAGACAATAAATGTTTTCTAATGGCCTGTACTCTGTTAATTTGTCTTCCAAGCTTGTTGGTTACCTGCCTGAAAGACTGTTTGTAATCTTTCTACCTGCTAATTCTAACTATTTTCAAAGTGTGGATCATCAAGAGATGCTCAGTCTCTGCTCCTGGCCACCACAGCTCACTGCAGTATATTAAACCTCATTTAGACCTGTCAAACTGCAAAAGAATTGAAGGAGGCTTTAAGCATAGCAATAGAATATGAAGCATTTTATAGTACCAGTTTCAAGGGATACTTAAACACAAGAAAAGGCTCCCTTCTATTTGAGGTACTACACAATCCCTCTAAAAAAAAGTCACAAGCATTTAAATAATGGAAAAAAACCCACCTTCTTATGATGGACCACTGACTATTTTCATCTGTGATTATGCTCAGAATGTTAACACTTAACTCATTATGTCTGGTAAAATAGTAACACTATTAACTGGTATATATGAAAATAAAAATGGTTTTGAACTTTTAGGAAATATTGTCTGCTGGCTGCTTTAGTACAAAAACCCCTTTCTGGAAGCTCTTGTTAGAAACCCTAAGCATTCTTTGCTACCTCTCCAGTGTGAAAATTCATGCTTTCCTGAGATAATCACTATGCAGGGATGACTAAAAAAAAAAAGTTCTCTTGAACAGGCAGAGGACCCTAGCAGTTATTATTCAGTATTATTATAACCTGTATGCATTGGGCCACAATTTGACAAGAGGACTGTTGGATTTTCTCCACATCAACTGTCATTGATTTCAAAATCTGCAAGGTGTAGAACTGCCCCTCCTGTCAACTAAAGCTTGCTGGCGTGCTCAACAGTATAAAACCAAGCTTCAATATGTTTCTTCATTATAAATATAACCTTATATTCCCTGTATAAGCCTTATTTGGAAGCTTAGTAGGAATCTACCTGAAAATTTGGGTCTTAAAAGATTTTTGTTCAACAGTTTTAAGACTGATAAATGTAATTTCTCAAAAAAATCAAAATCAAATGAAAGGTCACACATTGGCTGAAAGACCTGTGATTCCATGTAAAGCCCCAGGCCAAATTTCCTGCTTGTAACTGCTCAGTTCAAGACAATTTCCTTTTTCTGAATATTTTATAACAGAATGGCAGCTTCCCACAAAAGGAAAGGAAGCAAGTATTCACCTTAGAAAAATATTTTTTTCAGCTGATTTCACAAAATAATTGTGAACATTTAGTTATTGGCCAAAGTTCATAAACTGTCTGGTTTAAAAAAATATAAATTAGTTGCATGTTAATTATATGTATCCACTTATATTGGTTATTAAGTATAATAGTAAAATAAAAGGAATTTGTATTAACTGCGTATCCTGATCTCAACAGTGTTATATATAAGATAAGCAAGAATCATGAAGGCAGTCTCCAGATGTCATTGGTATAGGGTTTTGCTTCCTTAGCACACAAAAAAGCTTTAAAGCTGCAGAAGAGACTCCTGACCATATCATTAAGTTCCAAAGCAGATAATTTTGAAGTTTTATAGTAAGAACAGATCTATATACATCAAATAGGTCCTTTGCTCTATATTCTAGCTTTGCTGTTTGAAGACAGAGTAACTTGTGGAGAATCAATCATTGGCTTGAAAGTTTGAAGAGGACATTGTCAGGAAGTTGTGTGAGGCTCCTTCTTTTCTGTATATGCATGTAAAAATACCTTCATTACATGTTATATGCATATAAGCGGCAAAAGGCATTTGTATCAAAAACTTCTCACTCATGTCACTGATTTCTCAGGCCAGAAGATGCTGAAAAACTGCAGAAGGATCAACAATATATTATTCCATTTAAAAGATAGAGATGTTGACCTAAAAAAGGTAAGTATTTCCACCACTAAACATACTTATGGACATCCATAATTATATCTAATCACCAATACATCACTCTTCTCCAGCTCTTCTTTGGCAGCACAATATGGAAAAACGAAGTATTTCATCTCCTAACACAGGATATCTTGTCACAGATCTAACATCAGAAATGACTATGACAACCATCTAATCTCTATTTAATGCAGGCAATGGAAATCACATGATGATTCCTGTCTCAAGCTTAACAACTTGCAGTTAAATGACAACTAGGTACCACAGATACTTTCCCAAGACAGAGTTCATTCCAATGGTCACTGGACATGTTCTTTTTGCCACTGTAATATGGGGATGGGGTCAGAAAGAACACAAGATGGACACTTGCTCACCCCCTTCTGAAGGTATATTCACACATCAACTTATTTTCTCTAGACTGAGAGCAAGAAGTTGATCTGAATATTTTTGAAGAAATAACCTGGTGATGAAAGCTTCCATGTTTCCTAATTTACTTTCTTTTGGATGATGCTATACCAAGAAGAATGAATGATTTAAAAAAATAATTAAGTGAATAATATTAGCAGTGAAGTTTGCTAATAATATAAACCAGGACTGTATATATCAGCACTAAATTATTATTTTTTTAATCTATAAACTGGTTAAAATGTTAAACATACATATATATTTGGCCTCACTATCATCCTTTTTTAATGCTCCAGATAACATATTTGTTTTGCCAATTATTAGGCCTAGCATAAAGGACACAGCCAACATAAAGATGAACCAATAACCAAATTGTATTTGACACAAAAGGGTCAGTACATGGGTGAGCACTGGGGGTACAAACAAGTCAGATTATACATAATTGACATCAATCCCACTGACCCCAACAATGACACCCCACAACAAACAATGGGTGGAATAAACAGTGAAATGCAGTTTCTCATAGAAGAGACAGGAGACAACCGAGTCAACAAGCCAAATACATGAGACCAAGGAAGCCACATACTGAATCTCTACACAGCTCACATTTACAAAAGCCAGACCTGACTGGAGCCCAGTCCCAAGGAGGCAGGAGGTCCTTCCCCAACAAGAAACTCTGCAAAATGCATCCACCCCACAGACAGACACTGCCCCTTCCTGCAAGGGGTCCCAGCTTTTATCCCCAAGTGGGACACCTGACCTTTGTTTACTTCATGTGGGACACCTGGGGCTCGTTTACCTAATGGCTCTCCCTGCAAGGCCGGCTGCACCCTGGAGGGAAGCTTAAAGGTAACTCACCTCCCTTTGTGAAGGGCTGTGGGAATCACCCCTATGTCAACCTTAATTTGGGGCTTGGGGCTGAAACCCCAGCATTTCAATATTGTATTGATGTTTCACCTGGTGACACATAACAGAAATTAAAAGAAAGCCCTTACACTTTTTTGTTAGAAATCTCCCATCTGACCCATATATTAGTATCAGGCTGATAGCATACCTATGTAAAGCAGGTAATTGGTACTATCTGTGAACAGAGTCAACACACTGCTAGTGAATATTGCCCAGAACAAAGCTTCTGCTGTACTGAAAACTTTGGGTTGGAAGTAATTCAGTGTGATCCACTGGGAGTAAAGCTCACATTTAGTAGCATAGGTCACTGTCATTAAAGCTCAGTAATCCACTACAAGGCTGCTTAAACTCAAATAATCTGAATAGGAATCTCCCTGGGATTAAAATTATAATAAAGCAATGTTTTCTGTAAGGACTAATGTCCTTATACACATTTCTGCGTGTCTACAAACAAGCACCTACACACATACAATTACGCATCACATATGCACAAACACAAACTCTGATTCTGGTTTTTATCAGCCTACCCTGGTTCTCAGTGATAATGACAAGGATCAAGATCTAATTCATTTTACACAGTACATTGAGTTGTTTTACCCTTGTTAGTTTTCAGAACATAGAAAGGCCAATCAAAATAAGAATTGTCTGACCACCTGAAATAGATAGCATTAAATTCTGACAAAACTGGTGTGGTTTTTTGTTTTTTTTGTTTTTTTTTTTCTATAAAAGGTAACCTTTGGTCTTTTTCAGTTATGTGTTTTCTCCAGTAATTCATATGTAAAGAGCAAAGCAGACATGTTCCCCAGTACGTTTCAACTGGAGTTCAGCAATATATGCATTCTCAGGAAAGCAAATAATCTTGCTTTGATTATTACTGCAGATTGCTACATAAAAGGATTGGTGAATTTTATTCCTTCAGGGATGCTGAAGAGAAAGAGGAGGAAAAAAAGACAACATGCCTTTCGAGCCAAACTTTGCTTCAAATTACTAGTGTTGTGTAGTTGAAGCTGAATGCAGGTGGTTGCCTTGTGAAGACTTTCAAGGCTGCCCAAAGTATGATTACTGCAGTTTGGGAAAAGAAACCAAACAACAAATGGTTATCTTTGCTCATCACTTCAATCTTTTTTTTCTTCTCTCCTTCTCCTAAAAGCACTGGTGGACTAAATGCTAAGTGCAAAGCAGAATGAATAATATAAAACCTGTACTTGGCACCTATTTCCATGAAAACTGATGCGCTTGGTTTTGGCATATTTTCTGGTGAAACAATTTAAGAAAAATTGCTTAGTTGTGTCCTTGATCATTAAGTTCTGTAACAGAACAATGACACAGAGAAAGAATATCCTTAACAAACCGCACATGCTACCAAACCTTGAGATTATTCATGCATATTCTTCAAACACAAATTACTGCAATTTATACTAAATATCTTGGTTATGAATGTGCCACTACAGAACGACTTGTAGTGTTTGATACCCATCCTGAAAATCAATTATTAACTATAATTTTGAAAATCACAGAAAGACAGGTGGCCCTTTATTCTTAAATAAATCAAAGTTCTCACCCTTTGCAGCTCACACAACAACGGTAAAAGAAGCTGTGAATTGGTCTTCCTCCTTCTCAAATCATATACCAGTTAAGGTCAGACACAGAGCTCTACTCACTCAGCTGGAGTGGCACCCATACCTTTCTTGAAACTTCTTCCTCTCCTTATTTCACCTAATCACATCTGCCTCATGACTCTAATGATGAACTCTCCCATTATCCTTCCAGAACTGCCTCACACTTGTTTTTTCACCTTCTACCCTGCCATTATTCCTGCCCTTTCCATTCTGCCTCAACCTTCAACCTTAGGACAAGAATAGTAACAAGAACATTGCAAAGAAACACATCTGTAAGTCACGAGTCACTTTTTCATGAATCCTCAAGTATACAGATTCCTATTGCAATGCCAACACTATATCAAGCCAATGACAGAAATTGGTATAGCTATACAATACAGAAGAGCATTCTGCTAGTGTAAATTGGTATAGCTATACCCTTCTATAGTTACAAATCTGTACCACAGATGTAAAAACTATCTTTTGCAAGTATAATTCTGTGTCATCATGCTTTCAGGAGAAACAAGCTACAGCAACAGAAGTTGAATTTTGTGGTTATAACTACAATTACACTAGTGGTTTGTGTTAGCTGTGCTGTGTCAAGCAGATACTATACATCATAAAATGCTGCCTGCAACACTGCAGTCAGAAGCACTGGCCATACAGCTGACTTCATCAGTCAATTGTATTTGCACAAATACAAAGAGAAAAGTTTTGACAGGTATTGTGACACAACAGACAAGACAAAAATGGATTAATGCTTCAATAAGATAATGTGAAAACCTGGTCTAGATAAAAAGTGAACTACAGGAAACAGAGGGCGTAGCTTTGCTATAGACTGACAGACTATCTTTTAACTATACCCCAGGCTGTAACACACTATGCAGATCTGCTTCTATACCTATACTTCTAAGATAAAAGTAATATAGCTCCCTTTGGAGGATAGCATGATTATTAGCAACTGGCTTACAGCACTGAACTTTGCAAAGGAAACACAAATAAAAATGCTACATTATCTCAATAGTTTTCCCCCTATTTTTTTCTGAAATTACTATGTGAGAATACAGTGTTGATGAGAATGATATGACAGAAGACATAAAGCGAAAGGTAGCCTTTATCTTTAAGAGACATGTTAATGAGCTGGTCAAAAGTGACGTGACTTTCCTGTAGTCTCACAATATATCAGAAGCAGAGAAGAGGAAAATCCCTCTGTTTCTTGAGACTCCCTCATCACTATATGATTTTGCTTCCCTACAGCAAGGTTTTCTGATGTGCTATAAGTTCCAAATCCTAATAAAGTTCAACCAGACATTTTTGTTTTTTAAAAAAGGACTCAGCTGAGCAGCATCTCTGAGTGAGAAATTTAATCTGCAGCGACAAGAGAAAATTAAGTTTATTTTTTACAAAGAACATATTCCTCCAAAAGGTGCTTGCTTCTTATGATCTTAATCTGCATAAATATTACTCTGCCCAGTGTAAAATAGCTTAAACTTCACTTTGAGTGAAAAGTAATTCTTATTTAGGTCTCAATTCTCAGAAAATAGAATTAGTAAAGCAAAAAAATGTCATCAATAAGGTCACAGACAAGCATGTGAAGGAAAAGGATAAGCCTTTAGACATTTCTTTTCCATATCCTGGCTCAATATGTTGGCTAAACTGCAAAGCAGTAAGGTAACTGTGCAAATTACACCATGGTAGAGTGTGGACGGAATTAAATATATATATGAGAAAATCCTTTAAAAAATCCAATCCCTTAAAAAACAAACAAACAAAAAAAAGAGGCATGTTTAGAAGTAAATCTTATAAATATCCTACATTCTTTTGTAGGTTCTACATTACTGCAACCTGTTGCTAGCAGACATATCAATAAAAAAAATAAATAAGAGCACCCCATATTCTTATATACACTGGTGTTCTTTGTTTTATTAGGCATTTCAGGATGACCTGAGTTTGTGGCCTGTACTTCTAAAGGCAAAAATGTCTAAATGGAGGATTGATCCATTGCTGTCATGTGAGAAGGCTTGCTGCTGGCATTGAGAGCTAGGAGTTATTTGACACAAGCTGCTTAACCCCAATTTAATTTTTTTTTATATAACATCTTTCATGAACAGCATCATAAAATCATTTTAGGGGCATCTATTTTAAATCTAGGGAAAAGATAGGAAACTGAGAACAAGATTTAAAGGTAGATGTAGAAGGTTTAGATGACAGGATGATAAAAGCAAAGAATTTTTAGAAACTGCACGTGACCCTTCAAGAAATAAAAGATGATCAAGATCAGGACAAGTGCAAACATGGGAGTGGACAGCACATCCACAGCTGGGAAACCCAGAGAAGGAGGGTCTATGGATGCATATGAAAATCATAAACTTCTGTGAATAGTGGTAAAAATTGATGACACACAAATATGGGTTTCACTGCTCTCTTCTTTCAAGAAGTGTCTCCCTCTCTAAGACAGGATTCTGCCTCCAGAGGAACTTACACTGAACATCTGAAAAAGGAACTGCAGCAAATCAGCTGGAGAAGTAACTAATGTACACCTCACAATGACAGAGGGGCTGGGAGAAGGTAGCAATGAATCCTGACAGCCTCTACAGGTGCTGTAAGAAAAACTTGAGGTAAAAGGAAGTGTAGGAAGAGAAAGAAAGCCTGCAGGTTGAGGCAAGGCTAGGATTTCTGATCAATATGCAAAATGAAAGACCAGACACCAAATGAGATTCCAAATCAGAATTTCACAGATGACTCTATTAGTTACGGACTGACCTGCAGCCTATACAGTCTTCTGGGGGTTTTTTAACTTGAATTTTGAAATCTGATATTCTACTTGTGAGTCAGATAGGATGTAAGCTCAAGGCTGTCTCCATAGGAAGGAAATAATGGATGATGAAATCATGTGGTGCTGAGTGTAATGGTCATTAGCACACAAGTATTTTATCCCTATCACATTCATAGCTAAATGGATTCCAGAAATCATGAAGTCTTTCAGGTGCTTCTGTAGGTGGCCGGGTGAAGCGCTCATTAATACACTCAAATGTCATAGGAAATGAAAGCTTTTGACAGATCTTCACAAAGTTGTCTGTTTCACTAAACCACTCTTGTCTGAGAACAATTCATCATGTCACCATTTTGACTTCACTTTAGTTTTTCTGGATTACAGAAAAGCAGGAGTAGCAGAGGATTTATTCCCTTTGCTGTCTCAATTTGGGGAACTTCCACCAGAATTCATCCATGAACAATTTCCAAATACTCTTCTGGAGAAGAACTCTGCACATGTACATCAAATCACTGTTAGCAACATTTGGAGGAAAGTAATTTGCACTAAAAGATAGCCCAAACATAGGAAAACTCACCATGAGGCAACTCCACAGGCTGTGTTAAGCTACACAAAGGATCTTTATGGTTTGGGGTTTCAAATTTCAGATACAGGACTCTGATAAGGAGGCAGAAGAAAGGAGCTGAAAGTGCGGCAGAGTATAGAATTACAAGCTGCTGAGGCCAGAAGTGCAGATCAGTGCTCTCTGCATGACAGTGAAGGAGCAAAGTAAAAAAGATGAGAATATTATTGACTTTGTTTCACTGCTAGTGAGATGTGCAGAGATTCTGCAAGTGCAGGAATTTAAACAGTCCACTCTTGATGTGTTCTTCCATACAGTGGAAATAAAACTGTTTAGAACATACTGTACACTGTATTGAAATACACTAAACTCACTCTCAACACAATGACTCTATATCCATTTTCTCTAGCAATTAGTTTGAAATAAGAAGAGAGTTGTGAAGATAAAAAAAAAAAAACAAACCCTGTCCTTCTAATATAATTAACAAATCTATGTACGACCTGATTCTCTGCTCAGCTGTTCTAGTGTTGTAATGCTTCACACAGTGCTCTGCTGTACCAGCTCCTGCTTTACAGAGATTTTAACAAGAGTGGGTTTAGAAATGCTGGTCTCCATCTTTAGTTGCAAAGCATAATTCACATAAACACCTGAATATTGGACCTGTGTACCTGTGTTAGAGGAGAAGTGTCCAGGCTGGTTATAGAACAAAGCTAATTTACACAGTGTGACGTTTGTTCTCACAATTACATTACAAGCTGACTTGCCCTAAGATAGTTCAGGTAATCTTTACACTGTACTGCAAATATAACAGCTTCTAAAAATTTCCCTTTCAATTATAGACATATACTATTTTATCTAACACTCTTTACCTCTCTAACAGATAAGCTGTGATTTCTGCAGTGCCAGTTTAACAAGTTACCACAGAAAACTGCCAACTTTTCTCCTTCTGCTGAAAGTCACCGTCCCTCCAGCACCGCTTAGAGCCTGCACTTTAGCTGCTTCAACACAAAATCTGTCGCTCTGCCTACAGTTGAATTTGAGCTGCCAGAAGGCGAGAAACAACTAGCCAAGTCCAGTCGTACTTGTAACCACCACGAATTTACTTGAATGAATGCGAATCAGAGCATAGAATAGACTACATACATTCAGAAAGACCTGTTTGTATGTATAATGTGTTTTCCTTCAACTTGTAGTCAGCATCAAAGTGCTGACTTCATTTGCTTTTCTACTGCTGCCACCGGATATGAAGAAAAATCACCTCATACACAGCTGTATAATCCTGTTTCTCCTCTCTTTGGTAATATTCCCCCTTTGAGGATATGCATACCCTCTCACACTTATAATATTCCTATGAGATACTGGAAGTAGCAGCACCTTTGAATTACAGATGAGAAGGACCAGAAGAGCAATGGAGTGAAACAAATAATTCAAGGCTCCACTAAGCATATATGAAGGAGCCAGGATTTGAATCCTTGCACTAGAGCACACCATCATCTCCATAGAACATAAGCATTGTGTGTTCTGGGAGTTTCAGAAACTACACATTAAGCATTTGGAACATAATACTCTAACTGTCCCTATGGTTCTGTTTATATGGCACGTAAATAGAGTTCATTAAATGCACAGCTTTTATTACACAATATATACTCAATACCATCTCTTAATAAGATACTTAGTTTGGGGTTTGGTTTTTTTTTTTTTTTTTTACGGGCATTCCTGGACCTAGAAGTCATTCCTCCTGGACTGGATATCTATTTGTGCAATGGAGGATCTTTACAATTAAATCATGAGTGATACAGCCAGCTGTAAATAAAGACAGCAAGAAAAATTAACAGTAGCTTGCTAAAGAATTCCAGGCTAGATACTTGAGCAAACAAAATCAGATTTTTTTTTATAATTCCTAACTACTGCTGCAGACTAGCTCCATCAAGAGGAATTAGATCAAGACAGACCTGATTTTTATTTTTTTAAAAAAAATTGCTTTAAATACTATACAAGTCATTGAATCTATGTTGACTTAGAGGAAATTAGCAATTTGTTAGGTAGATGGAATGAAGAGCTAAGCAACTTTCCCAAGGAGAAAGGAAGAGACAAATGACTATTTATTTTTCATTTTCCTGATATCTTGGTACATTTCCCATGTGCAAACATGGCCTGATGATAAAGTTGACTCTGTTGCCACTCATGACACAAGAAGGCTCCAGAATTTTACTTGCTACTGTTTCTGTTGTGCACAACTTTTTAGCTATAACCAAGTAAATTAATGCTCATACCTATTTTGTGTATATCTAATATATTATGTAGAGTCACATTATAGCAGTATAGAAAGATATTGTATATAATAACACATAAACTAAGAAGCTCTATGTCAGTTTGTACAATTTGAACATTCTGAAATATTCTAGCATTTTGAGAATTTTCTCCAGTGCTATTTCAGCTTTTTAAGCCATTTTCCAACCCTGCCAATACAATTCCTCTCTGTCCATTTTAGAAGAACTGAAAAAATGGAAAAGAATAACTGCATAAACTGGCAGTCAAATTGCAAACATGTCTGATAAATTTAGTCTTTATAGGCATGCAGATCACACTGCACCAATACTGATGATGCAAGTCTGAGATACCTCTCAACAGAAAAAAGATCTCACTCTTCAGTGAAGAAAAGTCTTCATGTAATTACTGAGATGGTTTCACAATGCAAATGAAAGTCTGGACTTCCTCCACAATTCTCAGGCAATCTCATTTTCTGTAGCTGATAAAAGAAAAGTCAAAGTAGATTTTCCTTTCAGTTTTTCATTTATGGTATTTCTTTATTGCTTCAAAATTAGCAGCTGTAAGAGCTCTTATTCGAAGCTTTAACTGAACTTTTTGATATAAAAATGGAAGCTACCTACAGTTAAATATAAATCCTGAGAAACTAAACACGTAACCCATACTTGTGTGTTGACTACTTTACACTGGTATAGGTTCAGACAACTGGTTCAAACTGAGCCTAACCAACCAGTTTCATCGGGTTTAATGGTGTTCTGAATTTCCCAGTCACCCACAGCAGCCAATTCATACCAGCAAATCTGGTTCAGAGTTGCTATGTTGTTATTTTAGAACAAACCAAGAAATGCAAAATTGGTGTTGCAGGGAAGTTTAAGGGAATGTGATACTGAAAAAACCCTTCAGAGAACAGCTGACATTTTGAAGGGATGGGGCTGTGATAAAACCAAAGCTGAAATGAAACAGAACTGATTACCATAGCTAGCATGGTTTTGCTTTGGTTTGTTTTTTCCTAGGGAAAAAAAAAATGTCAATGGATTCAAAAGTTCCTTCTGAAAATTTTCATTTTCTTTCCATTTTCCTTTTGCTCAGAAAGCCACTTCAATTAAACATTTCTTACCAGCTTTACACATCTAGCCCTTGACAACTCACTGTTCTAAGGAACTCCCTACAGCTGGTTGGACATGTAAACTGCAGTACCTGTTTTCTAAATTTATATACACCAGAAAAATAATGGCACAGAATTTTAAATTAAAATTGTAACATGCACCTTCTTCAGGTCACTCACTGGAAAAATATCTGAAACTTGCTACTATCATTCATTTGTACTCTGTAGACCCATTTTCCTTTCCTTGCTCTGCCAAATGTCTTTGCATGAGTACACAATTCTTTATATTAAATGGGGCAAAAAAATGTATTCCCTCTCCCCACTTTAACTATATCTTATTGTTTACTTAGTATGTAATCAAGTTTAGGATAGGGACTTTTTCTTATATCCTCTTCAGTTTTAGCTGTGCCTTCTAAAGCATTTTGGTAAATAAAGTTAAGCAGACTGAAATTTGAACAATTTTTATGGTAAATGATGCTATATGATAAAACATTTGCCAGTAGTTAAGACTTTTGCATTACAAGGAACTTCAGTGTAGACTCCTTGTCTAGCTGACAAAAGTGCTGGAAATACTACTTTCTGGTTCAAGTGTCCCAAGATCCTCAGCCCTTTGTTTCAGGGAATCCACAAAATAGTGGTTCGAGATGATTCAACCTACTACTTTTCCAGGCTTTCCAATAACTGCATAGATGGTCCCAAATCAAGCAATCAAACTTGTATGAATAAATTTGCAGTTCTTGGCTACCTCATTTATGAAGCTGTTTTTTTTAAAAAATATATGTTAACTGACATTCTTTAGAGATTTGGAGTTTCAGATTTCAACCTGTCAAACAAACTAATATTCAGTCCACTACAACCAAATAATTACTTGACAACTGAAGAAATTATTCATGAAAAAAAACCCCAAACTATCACTTAATGAAACAGTACAGGACGAGAGTAGGAAGAAAATTTAGTTTATTTATTTTTTGCATATGTTGCTTAAGAACTAAAAATTACTAGAACTGGAATCAAGGATTCTCCCATTCACCACATACAGGATGCACAAGGGCAATGGCAGCTTCCCACAGTCACTAATGACAGAATAATTTGGGTTGGGAAGGACTGCAGTAGGTCTAGCTAGTCCAGCCTCCTCTCCAAAGGAAGGTTAACATTGAATTCAGACCAGCTTGCTCAGGGTTTTTGTCTGTAAATCCTAAAAAGCCGCCAAGGATGGTGACTCCAAAACGTCCATGGGCAAACTGTTCCAATTCTTAATTATTCTCCTTCTCTTTCCACCCAGCTGGAATTTCTCCTTTCATCTTGTGACTGACACGTACTTTTCCTAACCTGTATATAACCTTGGGTGCAGAGGAGTCTTCATGACTGAAGACTCTTAAGTCTTGGATTTAGAAACAGTCCACAGGCTATGAAAAGTTCCATGACTATATGACGACTACCCCTATGCTTTAAATTAGGCACAAGCTTAAATTTCTTCTGAAACAATATCTGAATTATGGCCATTTGAGACTGCCAGAATTGATCCCAGTTGTGATTAAAGAAAATAGAATCTGCACAGCAAAGTCTGATATTTAACATAATTTTAATTTTACAGCAAATATACTGAACATGTTTGACAAAGTATGCACTTAACACTCACATAAGGATTGCTCTCCAAGTGTCTTTCCAGGTAACATGTATTTTGCTATCATCTCCATGGAACTGAATTGTGGAAGGATACAGACACCTCAATCACTTACCATGTTGAGTAAGAAGCAGAGGATATGGTGAAGAATCTGTCCAAATGCTGATTCTGAATTTTTGATTCATCAAGGGTATGGTCTGGGAACCTTGTTGAGACACTCCAGATTTTCCCAGTGTTTGTCTTCAAGTCAAAAGCAGGATAGGCATTTCTTATTCTGAAAAGTACATGTAGTGAAATTATGTCTAAATAGGTATGCATTTCAGTACTCTTATAAGAGCCAGATAAAAATTCTACAAGATGCCTACAATAATACTACAGAGAGATGTTAGAAATAAAATTTTGTGCGGAGGGAAAAGAGTTAGTAATTCAAATTTTGTTTTCATACAGTAGTGAGATAACTACATATCAGATAGCATACATACAACTACAGCTTTTACTTAATAGGAAATCCATTAGTAAAGTATTCATGAACTTCACAAAATCAGTGCTGAGCTTGGCCTCAGTAAAGCCAAAAGGAGTTTAAACATAGACTTCCATGTACAGCGAGCACAGTAGAAATGAGTGTGCTCAAATATGTGCTTAAATAACAAGAGTTTTAACATAAAACTAACTAAAAGCACAGGCAGCTGTGACTAGGACAGCCGGTCAAAATGGATACAGGAATATGCTTTCTATGCAAAATCTTAAGAAGACCCCATTTTTACAGTGCTTTTTAGAACCCAATATGAAATCCTCATTACTAAAACCCTGGGTATTTACGTAGATGTCTATAGAGAGCAGTAACTATTATAGTCATTGAGTCCCTCTGATATACCATTACCTGTAAAAATATGTTGCCCCTCTTCTGTCCAATTACCAAAGACTTGAAGAAATTTATTCCTCCTGAGGTACAATTTCCTAATGAACACTGGTCACAGGTATTATGTGACCAAGATTAAACTGGCTTTTTAAGCAAATACACTTTGCAGCTACAGGTAAGGTATTGTACCAGTTGAAGCTTTACATTTCACTAATTGGCCTGAATATTTTAGTAGCTAAACTCAAACATCGGGTAATAAGCATACTGCATTCTTTTTTGTTTGTTAGTTCAAGCAGCATTTTGTAGCTTCTGAGTTGGTAGCGCTTTATACCATATCTGATTACAGTGTATTTTGAGCATAGTTCTCTCACATGAAGTTCTGCATTACTATGTTACCTCCTGCCTCAGGGCTGCCACCCAAGTCTCTTAAACCACAGTATGAACTATTCTTTAACGTAATGTATTTCTACAGCATAAGAAGAGAAGAAAGACTAGGCTTCCAAAATTAATAATCCAATGAAGAAGCCCATTTCTTATAATGAAAAGCCAGGGGGCAGGATGTTTCTTTCAGTGGATGTAGGAGGAAATGAGGCTTGACAATACCTCCAGTACAAGACAGATTTATTCCCATAGTAAAAAATCTTTATATGACAGAGGCTGCTTTTGTGACACGTGTAGCTGATGTCAATCTATTTTCTTTGCAAACAAGGTACACATAAAGCTTTCCCCTATCACCAGATTCACTCTTGTAACCTGTTTCTGTAAGAAGGCCAGGGACTGAATAAGACTGGAAAGTTCACTACCCTTTCTCCAGCACCAAATTAATGGAGTATTCACACACACGGGGCATGAATCACCTCCTCAACTTCTTGGCAGTCATTTCAAAACTAAGCGAATCTAATTTTCTTCCCTATCCCTACACTATATGTATTTTAGGATAATGTGCGAACAGAAATTTGCTTGTTATGTTTTTCAGATAAAAACGCATTCAGCTCCAGAAAGTGTTGCTCATTTATGGCCATCTATTGTTTTCAAGCAGTTAAAGGGCTTCTGGCCTGAGCAAGTGGACAAAGCATGCCCATCACAATCTTTTGAAAGGCTATGTCTTCCAAGGCATAATTGAAACACTACACATCTTAAATGAAGAAAATCTTGTGCTACTTTCTTTCTGTGCTGCAACAACTCATGTTATGCAGAAAGTACTATCATTTATGGGGGTTTGCTATTTCACAGCATTTCATAATGCTATGTATTTCTCTGCAGTGCAGAGCACATTCTTGAAGTCAGTAGGAGGTGAAGGAACTCTGCATTTTGCAGCACTGAACCCTAAGACTATCAGCTTGAATATTCTGGTATCAAACTCACTTTAGAACGTATTCAGAAGCCACTTATCGATGAATGTTCACTATCGCTATGTCCATAATTGTAGAAGTAACCTTATAAAAGGATTCTGAAAACTCCTTTACAGATGTACACAATGAAATGTTTCAATTATAGATTGCTACCTGTACAAATATTACCTAGAGTAAAACATGATGGGTTTCTTCTTGAGCTACATGACAGAGGTGCAAGTCTGCATGACACAGAGTTTGAATTATACATCTTGCCTCTGATGTATAAAACAACCAGTTACTGAGATTCTCTGGGGAAAAACACTTATTTTGCAAATTTATTAGCAAATTCATTACATTTTTCCCCAAGCATGCTTTTCCATTTATTTGACAGAAGAAAAGCAAATTTTGTTCTTATTTTAAGAGTATTTGTTAGTGATGCACACTAAACAAGTTACTGCAAAACAAGAATGGCTTAATTCCATCAATCTTCTTAGCCCCGTAAATAAACTCATATATTCACAAAAAAAAAAAAGTTTCAGTACATGTAGTGGTTGCTTCAGAAGACAAACATTGTAATAACAAATGCCCTCCCTCCTCCTCCTTTCTCTTAGCTTTTATTGCTGAGCAGATGTCATATGGTATGGAATATCCCTTTGGGCAGCTTGAGTCAACTGTCCTGGATGTGTCCCCTCCCAAGATTTTGCCCACCCCTAGTCTGTTGGTAAGCCCGGGGTGGGGGGAAAGGAAGGAACAGCCTTGATGCTGTGCAAGCACTGCTGAGCAGTAGCCAAAACACTGGTGTGTTATCAATGCCTTTCTAGCTACTACTACAAAGCACAGCACTAGAACAGCTGCTATGGTGAAAATTAGCTCCCTCTCAGCCAGACCCAAGACACAGGGATACCAACTCAATTAATATAAATATATGAAATCTCATAGTTACCTGAATAAAGTTTTTTTCATTACTTACTTCTCCAAAAAGCAAGTGTTTTCATTACTTCCTTGATTTGCTTCAACCAGATGGATAGACCAACCTGTACCCTAAAAATACCTAGACACCAGAAGAAAGAGTTCAGTTATTTAGATAACAGAAACAGAAGGAGCATAAGGTTAAACTTGTATTCAGTTCCACAAGAACTAACTTTCATACCTTATCATCCCTTCCCTGACTTGGTGGAGCTCCAAATAAGCACAAATAACCCCATTTTGCCTGCACTTTAAATGCTTTCAGAGAAAAAAAAACCACAAAGTCACAAAGCATCAGCTACCTTGGATTTAAGAATTATTTTTTTCCTCTCTGTGCAGAATATAAGGAATTCTAGACAAAGCTTTCAAAATTCACCTAGTGTCACTAGTGTCACAGCACAGATAACTCTAAATGTAGAAGATGTATGTTTAGTTGACAAAAGGGAGAGGGGACAAAATGAAGCTTATGCTGTAGTGAGTTTGAAACCTTATTTTCTCTCTTTCTGTCCTGGAAGGAAAG